ACTCAGCTAGTTGTCGTCTTACCTAAACTGCTGGGATTCCACCCCTACGCTGTGGATGTTCCCAAGATTCGCACGAAGCGTGTCGCTTCCACATTTATATGGACATTTATATATCTCGAGCGGCTAGAGAGTGGATTTCACTGGCTGCTGGACGTATCCCCCGTACGCTATAATCTGGACTTTTTCAAGGCGAGAGTGAATAGGCATTATTTAGGTGTGCATGCTACATCGTCGTCCTCTTTATCACTTTCCATCAGGTGAGATGGAGGTCAAATGCACACTTAGTTTTAATTAAAAAAAAGAACTATCGCGCTTGAGCTCATTATATTGGTCTCGACGAGTTATTAGCTTACGAATAGTGACATCTCTAGTCAGCGATGGTGGCTATAAAGGTGCCTCCCTGAGTGAAGAAGTAAATTTCTCATAGATACCGTTACGGCAAAAAAGTCGTAAAATCGAAAAACAAAGAGCTGCAACAAAGCACATAGAAAAATTCTTAAGGTCTGCTGGTTCGTTTCGTGGCCTAATTGGAAGTGCATCTGGCACGGATTGTCTAAGGGTGCTGGTTCCAATCCAGCCGGATAGAATCAACTGCCTCTGTGGCCGAACGATTATCATGCCGGACTGCCACGCAGAGGTCCCAGGTTCGATTCCCGGGCCGGGAGAAATATTTGTATGGCCTACATTTATTTCTCTCGTGAGTTTGGGTATAATTTATGGTTGTCTATGTTTCACTCACACACACACAGGGTTTCCCTAGTGCGGGGCTATGTTGAGTGTGTGCGTTATTATTATATAGAATTAATTTTTCTTAGTGTTGCGATCTTTGTTATGATAATTTTAGCAAACTAGTGGAGTAATTTCACAAAAAATAATTGAATATCATATTCAATAAATTTAAAAGTTTGGAATTCGGTACATTGTTTTGTGTCGGGGGTTTTAAATTTTCATTTCTACAAGAAATACATCGAACTTACTAGTGCTGGTATATACCACATGCCTCTCATACAGTTATAAATATTTTTGTTTCTCTAAGGTGCGAGCCTTAGCACAAGGTCGGCGACCAGATCCAGCCTGTATTTCTGTTACCAATATTGAAGAAGGCGAAGGTGAGTAGTCTTTACTAAAATCTATACCCAGTACAAAGATCTTTATCAAAAACTCATAGGAGAATTTTGACTACCCTATAACTTGACCCGTAGTTCAGTTGGTAAGAGCCACACTACGGTGCAGTATGGTCGTGGGTTCAAGGTCTCATCGGGTCGAAAAAGGTTTTCTATATGTTCGATCTTTCTATTAATAATCATAATAAAAAGTAGCGCAGTTATTTCACAAAAATAATCAGTAATAAACTAATTTCAATTTAGTAAATCGTATTTTTGATACCTATATCCAGCACTGGAAGTCTTTAGGCTGAACAGATGATAATGATATCCATATTTTTTTCTTTTTCCAGTGGATACACCCGTGATATCATTCGCACTCTACATATCAGTTGTACTATTGCTATTTCTACAACTGGCGTTCGCCGTCGTCTCCGCGTGTCTGGCCTTCGTGAACGTAGTGAAAAACCCAACTGAAGCTGTTTTTGGTTTACCAGGTTAGCTCTTACTACGTACTACTTTATTTTCTATTTCGTGAAAATTTCAACTCTTGAAGACAAATCCGGGAAGTTATCAATCTTCACTCCGCTTTGACTCGGGGTGGATGCTTTCAGATACCTGATCCCTTACCGACTATTTGGTTCTGACGAGTAACAATGAAGAAAACTGTTAAATAAACTGCCTCGACTGTCTCCGTGGCCGAATGGTTAACATACTGGTCTGCTACGCAGAGGTACCGGGTTCGATTCCTGGGCTGGGAGAAATATTTGTATGGCCTACATTTTGTTTCTCCCGTGAACTTGCGTGTAATTTCAGGTTGTCTATTTGTGTGTCCATGGCACCTATGTGTCAGTGTGTGCGTTATTGTTACTGTAATAGCCTATGCACATGGCGTGTTTTATAGGCGCGCGTTTCACGTTCTGCATCTGCGCGTATACGCGCCGCATACGCGCTTTAGTGACACGATTAAAACGCAAGTAAATATCGCAATGCAACTAAAAAGCTTATACTATACTCCAGTGGAGTTTACAGCCAGAATTTTCAAAAACTAGCTGAAATTAACAAACAAAACTAAAATTAAAACTATCTTTCATCAAATTACGCGATACATAAATAGCAGATGACGCGCGATTATGGCGCTTCCAATATACGCCCTGTGTGTGTGCTCTTAAATAGACAATGACATGACGAAACCATACGGGTTCTTAATAATATATAAAACAAAACCAAATTTTCCCAGGATGCCTCTGGTGTAACGTAATGACAGCAGTCCTCGGTATCGCAGTGCTGTTGACCTTTGGCATCTACTATACCGTGTCAAGGCTACCATATCATATGGCCGTGGGCTATGTTGCTTTGGGATATTTTTATAACTGGTGGCCGATACTATCGTACTCGTATTGGTAAGTACAGACCATATGTTCTATCATTTCACCATAGTTTCTAATTTAAAAAGAAGCAATAATTCTGGACTAATAATATAATTTAAACTTAATCCTGTTGGCTTATTGTTGAAAGTTCAACACATATTATTGCAAGTTACGACGTTTTGATTTTATATTGAAATTTTAATCAAAGTGCTGCTATACCTATTCAATACCAGTAGCGGTAGAGGTCCTTGTGAAAGAGTTAATCCAGGGAAGTTTTGCCACCTTACCTTTTCCTGCCGCCAAATATTAAAGTCAGCATTACTGTGTTCCGGGTTTGAAAGGTAAGGTGCTGTTGAAATTACAGGCATAATGAGACTTGTCAACTTATGTCAGATCTTTGCGACTTAATGATCTGGGTGGCACTGCAATTGTTATAGGCAGGCGTGTCGCTTATCATCAGGCGCACGACTTATTCGTCCCGTCACTGGATATTATTAAAAAAATAAAAACCTTTCTTGCAAGTTTTTTTTTATAATAAAAAAAAACGAAAACTACGACGTCTTGATTTTATATTGAATTTTTATTCAACATGCTGCCATTTTGCGGCCATTAGCTGGACTAAGACGTACGATTAACATCTTAATGAATACATAATCAGAAAATAAGACTTACCGATGATTTGAAATACTGCGGGTAATGTTTTTACTGCAGCATTTTTGTATGGTTTCAGAGAATTCGCGCGAAAGAATGTCACAGTCATACCATACAAAGCGGACTGAGTTCAAGTAGGTCTTTCGAGACCTATAGTTGGCACGCGTCAGACGCTAACTAACCACTTCTACTGTATTTATTGTTCTGTGCGTATACACGTAATGACATGATTTTAGAAACAAGGCCCTCTCAGACTCTCTCAGGATGACGGGCGCTCTTTGCAAGTTATAGCTCTGATTGGCTCTGTGTTATAGGTAGGCCATCGCTTTCCATCAGGAGCACGAATTGTTCGACCAGTCACTTGTTAAAAAATGATGAACCAGTCCACCTTACATATTGTTATCAGCGGTTTTGTCCGGACTAAATCATGAAGATAACAATAAAAGCTTTTGTTTTATTTCAGGATCCTAACTGGTGCCGTGCTTTGTTCTGTAATAAACGTGGTTCTTCTAGTGGTGAGACGGTATCTGCTGGAACGGGATCCTCCATCGCCCACAATAAAGGTGGAAAATAATTCCGATGACAATACAGTCGTAAATTTATAATATTATTTTAAGCAAATGTTTATTAAAATGAAAGTTTCAAAAATAAATTCTAAACATTATTATTTGTTTCCCGCTGGCAACTCGTGATTATGGAGGAAGTAAAATGAGTAACCGTCCCGAAATACCGGAAAAATAATAAGTCGTAACTTAATCGTGTGACTAGTGGAAATTATAAATGATTAATTATTAAAATCATAAAAGTTATACAAGTCTGCAATTGCCAGGTTACATGTATCTTTGCGTTAAAGTTTTTGTCGTGTAGACCCCCACACTAGCGTCTTTCGAGGGTCAGCGTTTTGCCATCACACGCACAACGTCGACACGAACGTCCGCGTGATACAACGCCAGCGTGGCGTATATCTGACGTTCGGTCTACTCTCCTTATTCGTCCGACATCTCCATCCGAAACAATTAGTGTCAAGTACTTAATACTCGATGAAATGAGAAGACAATGTCAAGTACCAAGCTTCATTCGCATCATTATTCTTTTAAGTAGGCATAGTAATAATACTGCATGCATAAATATATGTATTTCACAGTAATTGTTTCTGATGGATATCGGACGAGTGTAGACCCCCAATAGTCGCTCAATGACGTCGCGCTGGCGTTGTGTCGCTGCCGCGCGGACGTCGTCGTGTCGACGCTTTGCGTACGTTAGCAAGACACTGATGTTTGAAAGACTCTAGTGCGGGGCCTCTTGAGGTCACTCTCAAGGTCAAGTCACATCGGCAAAGTGACAACTATTCCATGAGAGAGGTTTAAAGATTTTTTATCTTTATTTATTTGGGAACTTTTATGCAATATATATGTCAGTTCCATGGTACCCTAAACTATAGCTTACATGTCTGGGCGGCGCTGTCTGAGAGCCGATTCAACAAATAGTAATAGTCTTTTTTATAATTATTAATACAAAGATCGAACACTCAGAAAAAACACTCAGAAAAATTCCTTCGATCCGGTCGGATTCATCTGTGATAAATCTGTAATAGATTTCTCATAGATGGCGCTACGACTAAAAAGTCGTTGAAAGACCAAGTACAAAGACACGACGCAAGCACATAGTAAAATTCGTGAGGTCCGTTGGTTCGTTCCGTGGCTTAGTTGGTATAGCGTCTGGCACGGTATGCAAGAAGACGTCGGTTCGAATCCGGCCGGATCGAAGGAATTTTTCTGAGTGTTCGATCTTTGTATTAAGAATTATAACAAACTAGTGGAGTAATTTCACAAAAAATAATTGAATATCAATTATAGTAATCATTGACTTACAATTATATGGACGTCGGGTCCGCGCTAAAAAGTGTCCGCACTTGTAAGGCGCTAAAATCGTATACAGAGCGCGACACTCCGCTTTAGTCTTCATTTGTTCTACGGACAGCGCGATACTGCGATGACATAACAATTTAAATTTCGAATAGGTTGACTTGGGACATTTTTTCGTGGTTTTTGTATTAGACCCGTCGTCCATTTATTTGTAAGTCAATGTTAGTAATAGTCTTTTTGCCTGTTTCGTGTGGGGATTGCTTAATATACAATTTATAGCACCTAAGTATATTCGGTTGATCTGCAGGTCTCTCATCAACGTCCTCTGTTGTTTGTACCGGACACATTCCAATAACAAATGATATGCGGCATGATATGCGTCTTCCACTACTCCACATAATTCGCAATTAGGAGAATTGTTTTTTTTTCCATTAAGTTAGCAAAACTGTTTAGTGGAACGTGTCCGGTTCTCATCCTTAGTGCGATGACAACTATTTCTCTACTATGGTCGCACTATGCAAACCAAGGTAAACGAGGAGGCTGACACTGAATTGTGCGATACCAGATATCATTTTCCCTTGATCTGATATCAAAATATTCACTCCACATTGGAGCACATTTTGACCTATATTTGGTAAGAAATTCTGAGTAACACGGTAGTATATTCACCACCTGTCCTTCTGTTATTCCACGCTACGAACAAAATTTGTCAATACCTTTTTTATTTATAAATAGGAGAGTTATAAAATGTGACATGTACGTAATACTTTTCATATAGTTCGTATTATTTTATGACTTTCACGTGATAAAAATATTTTCGACGTATTAACACATATGACTTTATTGTACTTAGTGCGATTGCTCACTAAATCCTATTAGTATTTGTTCCAAATCCGAGACTGGGCAAATCTATCAAACTCGGACCCACGTCGGATATCGCTTGTTCACTAAGTCCGATCAAGAAAATATAAATATCGCTTGTACACCTAGAGATAAAATGATCTCTATGACATTTCGGACAGTCATTTCTGGGATTTCGGACGTAGTGCACAAACGCTCTACGGGTACGACTTCTGTTCTTCATGACAACGAAAGAGAATATCGATCAGTCGATAAAGTTAAGGATTTGGAAGGATGTTTTCAAACCTTACATTTTTCTAACAGGCCCATAAACCAATATTGTTAATTTGTAAGTGGTCATTATAAATAATTTATGAATTTGAAGGAGATTTTGCTTTTATTTTTCATTTTATTATTTAAGTGTGAATGTTTTTTTATTACGTTTTTCTTTTTATATTTATGTTTTTCTTTTTTTCTGGGTTGTTTATTTCTCTTTATTTTTTTACTTGTGTGGTGTCACTTGTGGTTTGCAAATAAATGTATTTTCCTTCTTTAGTTATTTTTCTTCTTTCTTTTTAGTGGAGTTTTCTCGGCAGAAACGTACCACATCCAACTGTACCATAAGAACCATAGCTGTCGTACCTAAATACTTTTATGTTGTTATGCGTATTAATTTATCTTTCTTTTGATTGTTTGTGCATATTTGATGATAGTTATTTGTGCACCTTTTAAAATAAAAGAATTTTCAAAATCGGTCCACAATTGACTGAAAATTCGGTGAATACACTGTACATGCCTATAAAACTTGAGGATTTCTCTTGATTTCCATGGAATCCCGTCATCATATTCTGACTTGGTGACAATGGTACCATCTCGAGAGTGTACCCTTTCAAAGCCGAATGTATAATCCAACTTTTTTTGAAGTCTCTAATAACTCAATCCCAACCAACTCTAGAGGTATGCTAATCGGGATACAAAGCATTTACGTACCAATTGGTATCTATACTAGATGTTGCGACGAGTACCAAATAGCTAAACACACCATTCACACCTTTGTACTTGCGTGCCCTTACCATGGTGTGGCAAGCGTGTGGAGCCGCCTTAACTTCCTCAACTTTGTTTCCATTTCGTTTCGCAGTAATGTACATTGAGCCTTACTTAATTGCATCGTTACTGTACGGCCAGACTTTTAGACCGTTGGAGATATTAGTCATAATTTCACAAAACTTCAGCTTTTATCTTAATATGGGGGATTTTAATGCGATAATATCAAAAAAATTCATTGTGAGATATCGTATCGTTATACATGAGAAACAGCGGAACTTATTTATCTTCAGGGAAAGTAAACACTTGTTTTTACTAACACCTATATGAATAAATTTTCTGCTGGATGTTTTGGGCAAATTTCCAATTTAATACGTATGTATTTAATTAACATTATAATTTTATATCTGTAGCAGCGTGTACAGCCACAGTACGTGAGACATGTCTTTGTGGAATGTCGTGAGTACTTCAAAATACAAAGTAAATCTACTCCATTTCAAACCTGCCATAGTAATGGTGTTGTTCAGGTTGTCTAACATAACACAACATCATAGAATTAATATCTAAGGATGTTCATAGAAACAGTAATTTGCGTAAGCGGTGGTCTGTGGTATTAGCGTCACCATCTATAAAAGGGAGCGTAAAACTATTACAAGTTTAGATAAAAATGTATACCGGAGTTAGCCTCGCGTGTCTAAATAAATAAATAGAAAATAAAATATCTTTATTTTCAGACAGCTAAATGGTCTGTAGATTGTTAGTAAACAAAACATTATTAACTAGGTATGTTATTATAATAATAATTAACAGCTACAGTACACTACAGCCGTCGTCGGTGCACTCGTGCAGCTCGTTGAACCTGTCGAGCCGAGGAGACTGTTGGCGCTTCCTCTGCGTATTAAAATACTTGTAAGTACTAACAGCCCGGTCATTCAGTTATGTACGTAGGTTGCCTATGTGTCACTCAGTGGGTGTTGGCGCAGGTGGCGGCCAGTAATGCTAATTAAAACTTTTACGTACTTAAATTTATAAAAAAAATATTAACATAGGAAATGAAACTATTTTTCCAGATTTAAATCGGGTATATTTGTTTTTTCAAACAAACTGACGTTTCGGGCCCTTTACAGGTCCCATGGTCACGGTTGACTAAGGTGATACAGTCTTCAACCAGTTATGTCTAATATTAATGCAAACCACCCTATTTTTCACTATAGTTACCATAGTTATTAATTAAATACCTTATTTTTAATTTTACAAAGAAAACATTCCAATTTACGCTACATTAAGTTTTACAAATTATTTTAATGAATGAATTTTTATTAAGTTCAATTTATTATTAATTATTAATAGAAATTAGAATAATGGGGATGTACATCCCCTTACAGGATGCAGGAGTTTACAAGCTTGACTGTGAGTGCGGTCTCTCTTATATTGGCTCTTATAGTGACCATGGGACCTGTAAAGGGCCCGAAACGTCGGTTTTTGAAAAAACAAATATACGCGATTGAAATCCGGAAAAATAGTTTCATTTCCAATTGTAGTATGTTATTATTATAGTAACTTAGAAGTTGTCTGATTTTGAAGAAAGTATAAATATGTACACATAAAACAGCATTATGATTGGTATCACCCAGTTATCAGTATCTGCATAATATTACCGATAATTGTTGATAATGTAATGATAACAAATTCTATTGCTTTAGTAATTGACTGTAGTGCCAAAATGGCGGTCAATCGTAGAGGATATATATTTGGTGTATTGATTTTGAGTATTGTTTGTGTTTTGTTAATTGTTGTTTCTGCAGCTACTGGTAGTTGGGTGAGTAGTGGTTTGTTTACACTTGTATTAGCCTTTTTACCTACCAAAGCAGAGAAGAAGTAATTGAGGTGGTGATATTAACATAGCGATACACTTACATTCATTGGTTTATGACGCACAGCTGTTTTCAGTGTGGTAGATAAGTGGCGCGTACCTCTACTATGGCTACCAGTGTCAGTTCCTAACATGTTTTTGAATTTAATACAGTATTGATTAAATGTATCCATGGCAGAGAACAGAGAATAAGAGAACGGATACTCTCCGCCCCTCCCTAGTTTTAGATACCTCACCA